GGCGAGTCCCAGGTCCGTGAGTAGGTCTGGCGGATCCTCCCAACTCTTGGGGTCTGACGAACCTCGATCAGCAGATCAGATGACGGCTGCTGTCCCAAATCCAGGGGTGAGATGAGGATGATCCAAGACACAAAGCTGGAGCAAGAGGAGAGCGAATCTTCCCAGGAGATTATACCCTCTGGGAAGCTAAGGGTGGTGATTTGAATTATACCCTCCAGCAAGGCAGGACTCAAGATACATTCCACCTGTGTTGCCCCAACAGAATTAACCTAAATCCCATCACAGAGTTGATTGCCAGTCATTATAGGGAATGACTATCAGCTGCCCAGCCAAGTTGATACCTGACCTTAACTACCACAGCACCCCAAACAGGCATGGATAATGGAATTTACAAAACATCACAGAATGGAGGATAATGGCTAGAAGGGCCACATCAAGCAATTCACTGCAGCTTCATAAGGCAAAATGCAACCACTGCTGTGGAGTCGGATCTGACTTATAGCGACCCTTTCTTGGGTTTCCAAGGCAGTATCAATACAGAAGCATATCTCCCAATCTTGCTTCTGAGGAGTGGCTGCTGGGTTTGAACCGCCAGCCTTCTGGTTAGCAGTCAAATGCCTTAGGCACTACACCACCAGAATTCACCAATGTTTTATATTTAAACATGTCTAAAAAGTTTATAGCTTAGCTATAAATACACTACTAACATGAGTTTTTGCCTAACTTTCAAATCTAATCTTATAAATTTTTAGTTTATTTCTAATGATTCTAACTTACCAGTATATTCTCATGTACATAGTAACCTAGATAAAATTTTATTGAAATATGTTCCTTTTAAATGATTGGCATTGCTCTGTAAAAGACTAATCTTCAGTTCTCCATCCTCACTTCACTACCCGACATTGCATCATCATGTATCTTTTTTCATATCAATAACTGAGAGAATTTATACTAATTTAAGTTGCATTCAGCCAGAGTAATAGATTAGTAGAGAATTTGAAAATTAACTTGATTTTAGCTTTGTGCAGTCTCTTTTCATTTGTGTTTTATGTTTATTTTATTTCTGTTGAATATAGCTTATTTTGTTTTTGTCAGGACTGTCTGTCTTTTGCAATCTAACTCTTAAAGAGCTGGAGTTAGAGACTTCACAAACATCAATTAAGTAATATTATGGTAAAGTCTCTGAACTGTCACAAGTTACATTAGTCAATGAATTACTCCTCTTTAAACTAAAGGAAATAGTTGCAGAAGAAAAAAAAATGGAAAAGGGATCATTCTCCATAGTACCAGATTTAAGAAGAATATGCTAACCTTCATCTTTGCTTGACACATGGGCAGGCAATTTCTTTTAAATTAACTTTTTATAGCTGGTTCTTCAGAGATTTCATGAGTGGTGTTTATCATTCTCAAGGCTCTAATTTAACAAAGGTTAATAATAAAAAGGATACTCTCAATCAGTGGGTATGGCTGTCTAAAGAGCTAGCTCCAATTTTTGAAAGTATTAATTTTCATAGAAAGGTAATATTATTTCTGCAGAGTTTCTCATGTTTAATGTACTTTCTGAAACATTTGTACTTGCATGGAAATCTGTTGCTTTAAAAATTGAACATCTTTAAGTTCACCATCTCTTACTGAGAACAGTAATTAGAGATACGAGACACTGTCAGAAGAATAATAGAGATGAAACGGTGACTTCTCAGTTTGATAAATATAAAAATGTAAAGTCTTTGGTGAGTGTGTAAGCATATGAATTAGAAAACTTATTATCTATTTGATAGAAAAAGGAAGAAAAAATCTTAAAGGTAATTTAAGTAAAATGTAAAGGAATCATATTTAAAATATTTGTGTACTTGTCATGTTTTAAAAATAAATGATTGAGGTAACTTAATGATAACAATATCATGATTATGTGTCTATCATCATTATATTTTTTCTCTTCTAAATCACATAGCAGTTTATCTCAATGTTTGAAATGTTTCTTGCCTTATTGAATGCTTTTCATCTTTAGAACCCAAAGATTACTACGTGATAACCTATTTTTTTAAATAATACTAGTTCCCCAAACTCCTTATTTTCCAAAAGTGAATTTAAAGTCTCAAGAAGATCCTTTTGCTGACCATTCTGTTTCTTTATTTATCCTTTGTTGCTTATTAAAATAAATGCCAGTTGTATTGATGATTGTTCTGGTTCCTGAGAAAGATTTAGCCACCTGGTTAGTGAAAGGCAAGAGCCAGTGGCCTGCACTTCTTTTTTTTTCCTTAACTATTTAATTATCAGATATTGACCAGTGGAATAAGGTAATTGAACAACTAGGAACGCCATGCCCAGAATTCATGAAGAAATTGCAGCCTACAGTGAGAAACTATGTGGAAAATCGGCCCAAGTATGCAGGACTCACCTTCCCCAAGCTCTTTCCAGATTCCCTCTTTCCAGCCGACTCGGAGCACAATAAACTCAAAGGTATGCCTGTCAGGGACAATTTGAAACCACTGTGTGAGTGATGGGCTCAACAAGCAAACAATATAGGGACCACTCTTTAACTCAAGCTGCCTCTAGTTAAGGAAATGTATTTCTTAAAGGTCTTCCTTAAAAGGGGATTGGTGACGGGCTGTAGAATTGTCTGGGCTGTTTCATTAGTTTAACTGCAATACATAGTGTCGCCATAAATTGGAATCCACTTAACAGTAACTGGTTTGGTTTTAGAATCTTAAATTTATTTTGAAATCTAATTCTAAAAGAATAATGTGTTATAAATAGACATCATTGCTTCAATTCTTTTTATTATCTGAAAAATATTTTCCTCACAAGTTTTAAATTGTAAAATGTAGGAGATTCAAATGTCTGCATTTTCTTTTATTTGTATTTCTTTTTATTATATTTTATCAAGTGCTTAACCACCATCTTTTTAATGGCAAATGAGATTTAATTCACACATTTTATATTTAATATAAATACTTACATTAACAAGAAATTCTTTCTATTACTATACTTACAGTAATGAATTTGGGTAGCAAATTTGAGGGTTTTCTAAATCCACAAAGCTAGGATAATAATGCCTCTGTCATAGAATTGGAAACAAAGAATATATTTGACAATGCATAAAGTATAATGTAATAAGTCTCTAATTTTATTATTATTTAAGTCTTTCCTGAGAATCTAACTTTGATACAAATATGATTTTTCCCCCTGCCTAGGTTCAAATTCTGCCTCTATTCCTTAAAATCTGTATGACCCTGGACAAATTATCTAATCTTTCTGTGCTTTCTATAACAAATAAAGAGAGAGTGCCTACCTTATAGTGTTGTTGGAAGGATTAATCAACTTAATGATTGATCAAGTACTTAGAACAATGCCTGAGTTATAATGAATGTTCAGTATCTGCCATATATATATATATATATATATATATATATATATATATATATAATAACTCATATTATACTAACATTATTTATATTAATAAAATAAATACATAATTTATTTAAATTGTTTTTACACAGTATCAAAAAAAAAAAGGTTAGAATACATGCTTTTGAAATTTCACTGCAAATGTTCAGTTGGCAACTAAATAGAAACAGGCTTAACCTATAGACTTAACTTAAATATACCCACTCCTTACTTACCAACATGGTTAGGTTCCAAAGACCAGGGTGTTATGAAGGATCAGCATTATATGAAAATGGAGGATGACCACATCAGATCACAAAATGGAGGATCATCATTACATAACTGCCAAACCACTAGGAATCATGGCCCAGCCAAGTAGACATGTAACTTTAACCATCACAGCCCATATTACTCTTGCCTCACACCTTGCTTTAATAACTGAAATGTATATCGTTAATAGTAGATTTTTTTACTATTGTAAATGTGAAATGTCAGATAACAAAAGTAGTCAGTAAGTAAGGAGTAAGTATAGGAGCTAATATAGATTTAAATGAGACAGAAAAACTAAATACAGTACTAATATTTTCCAGGGCCTTTTAATCTACTTCAAACTTTCATCAACCCAAAAAGATCCCAAACCCACTGCCACCGAGTCCATCTTGACTAATATTGAACCACACTGGGTTTCTAAAGCTGAAAATCTTTACAGAAGTAGATTGCCTCATCTTCCTGCAGCAGAAGAGCTGGTGGGTTTGAGCCATTGACTTTCTGGTTAGCAACCAAATGCCTTACCCACTACCCCATCTAGTGGGGTTTAAATGTGTAGCATTGTTCTTGCCATTTTTATTGCATGATTGAATTTCTTCCTTCAGCTGCCTCTACGAGATCTCTGAATGGCAATAAACTGAATTATTGCTAACTCTACTGCTTTTGGGATCAACACTATACACAGATTGAAGAAGAGCTATATTCCAAGCAGGGATCTGATAGGATTTGTCTTCATGATGCTAATTGATATAGCAGGCAAAAAGTAATCCCTTCTCCTGAAAACACTGGTAGTGTGCAGTGCATCACTAGGGTTGATGTTACCCAGTGTGGTAATTCATGGTATCACCCATCCCCCAGGACCTCCTCCCATACAAGACCCTACAGAATCCTTAGCAATATTTATTATCAATTTCAATCATAGAATAATATGTGATGTATATAGTTGTAAATTGCTTAAATGTAACACTTCTTAGATTATGTGGATACTAAGAACAAAATCCACCACTTGTCAGTTTGTCACACTGTGGTGGCTTGCATGTTACTGTGATACTGGAAGCTATTCTACTGGATTTTAAATACCAACAGGGCCACCCTTAGTGGACAGGTTTCAACAGAGCTTCCAGACTAAGACTAGGAAGGAAGGACACGGCCAAGTCCACTTTGGGGGGGGAGGGGATCAGCCACTGAAAATGCTATGGGTAGTAGTGAAATGACATGACAAATTATGGATAACATGGAGAAGAATGGGAATTCCCGAACACTTGATTGTATTCATGAGGAACCTGTACCTTGACCAGGAGGCTGTCGTTCGAACGGAACAAGGGGACACTGCATGGTTTAAAATCAGGAAGGGAGTGCGTCAGGGTTGTATCCTTTCCCCATACTTATTCAGTCTATATGCTGAGCAAATAATCCAAGAAGCTGGACTATATGAAGAAAAACGTGGCATCAGGATTGGAGGAAGAATCATTAACAACCTGAGATAAGCAGACGATACAACTTTGCTTGCTCAAAGTGAGGATGACTTGAGGCACTTACTGATACTTGAGGCACTTACTGATAAAGGTTGAAGAATACAGTCTGTAGTATGGATTACGTCTCAATATAAAGAAAACAAAAATCCTCACAACTGGTCCAATGAGCAGCATCACAATAAATGGAGAGAAGATTGAGGTTGTCAAAGAATTCACATTGCTTGGTTCTACAATCAATGCCAATGGAAGCAGCAGTTAGGACATTAGACATGTAGCATTGGGAAAGTCAACAGTGAAGGAACTGTTTCAAGTGCTGAGGAGCAAGGATGTCTCCTTGAGGACTAAGGTGCTCCTGACACAAGCCATGATATTTCCAATCACCTGGTATGCATGTGAGAGCTGGACAATGAATAAGGAAGACCGAAGAAGAGTTGATGCTTTTGAGCTGTGGTGCTGGTGAAGAAAGCTGAAAGTACCATGGACTGCTAAAAGAACTAACAGATCTGTCCTAGAGGAAGTGCACCCGAAATGCTCCTTGGAAGTGAGAATGGCCAGACTTCGTCTCCCCTATTTTGGTCATGTTGTAAGAAGGGACCATTCCCTGGAGAAGGATGTCATGCTTGGTAGGGTGGAGCGTCGACGAAAGAGGGGGAGGCCTTCAACGAGATGGATTGACACGGTGGCTGCGATGATGGGCTCAAGTATAGCAGGGATCACGGAGCTGGCGCAGGATTGGGCGGTGTTTTGTTCTGCTGTGCATGGGGTCGCTATGAGTCGGAAATGACTCAACGGCACCTAACAACAACAACAACAGTAGTGAAATGTTGTCTGATATGTTGCTGGAAGATAATGCTCTCAGACTGTTAGGCACTCAAAGCACACAGTGGCTGCAATGATAGGCTTGAGCATGGCAACAACGGTGAAAATGGCACAGAATCAGGCAGCATTTCATTCTGTTGTACAAATGGCTGCCATGAGTCAGAGCCAACTCAATGGCACCTAACAACAACAACAACCATAGTTTTGTAAAATCTTTCTATACTGAATTACAACTTTATTAGCTACAATATTATTAGTAACTCAATGGAAGCTTTTTTTTTTATTTCTTTTCCTTTTCTTTTTATTACTAATTCATTCTCAAAAAAGTTATTGATACAGGTTCTCAAATATTATTTACCACCATATTGGACTTAAAATACCAGAAAAATTGACAAAATCAGCAACTATAAAAACACTGGCAGCAATGAAAACAACAGAACATGAAACCATGTAATTAGAAGCATCATTGTAATTGAATATTAATGACAACTCTGATTAGAGCACATGGAAGATTCCAAAAAGTAATTCGTATAGAGTTTTAGTCTTATGAGTATGTTGACATATGTAAGCTGAGCTTACAAAAATATTTTTATTGTTATAACTACAGAGATATTTTTATAAAAAACAATAAATTTCTGCTGAAACGTACATAGAAATTTTACAGACATTTTGGTGTCACCTCTTCTGACAATGTCACATGATGCTGTTTGCGCTCCCTGCCCCCCCCCCAGCGATGCAACTGGGAATGTAACAATACAGTGTCAACAAAGCCTTGACTAAACAATTTGGTGATAATGACAACACTTACAGAAAAGTTATAAAGATGCCATGCTTTATAACTCAAAGTTTCTTGAGTGTATTTTTTTTTTTTGTCTTTCTGATTCATTTTGAATATCTACAATTATATTGTTCTTGTAAATGGTAAGTTAATATACATATTTGTGATTATTTAAGTTTAAACATAGCGAGCTCTGGTAGCGTAGTGCCTAAGGCACTTGACTGCTAACCAGAAGGCTGGCAGTTCAAACCCACCAGCCACTCCTGGGAAGGAAAATGGGGCAATCTACTTCCGTAATGACACTGCCTCAGAAACCCAAGGAGGGGTCGCTATGAGTCGGGTCCGACTTCACCGCACATAACAACCACAACAATTTTAAACATAAAATTGGCAAATTATAGAGAATCATAATACAAATATTCAAAGTTTATACTACTGTAATTAGCAAAAAGCATTACAGATTTGCCTGGAAATAGAAGAATGAAAGATAAATCATTGAAAACTTTTTCTCTTCTCCATTTTCTTTCGAGAAATTAATATCAATCATTATTTCTTACTATTGATTATATCAGGAGCTCTGGTAGGGTAGTGCCTAAAGGCATTTGACTGCTAACCAGAAGACTGGTGGTTCAAACCCACCAGCCACTCCTGGGAAGGAAAATGAGGCAATCTACTTCCGTAGTGATACTGCCTCGGAAACCCAAGGAGGGGTCACTATGCGTCCGATTCAACTTCATGGCACATAACAACAACAACAACAATTGATTATATCATTCTTTTTGTATAGATATAGTTCATGCTCCTATTGATGAAGACAAGTCCACTGCCCCCACTCTTTCTAAGAGCAGAAACAAGGATGGATCCTATGAGTGTGAGTGGGGTGCCTGATTCTAGGTATAAAATCAGTTACAAATCAGAGATTTTTGAAGCAACTGAATGGAGTCCTGTTGGACTATTACTCGAGAAATGTTAGGAAGGTAGAATGTGGGGGCAGCCAGAGGACAGGGTCGAAGGGAGAAGAAAGGGGAAAGAGGCGGAATATCTAAGATGTTAGTAAACTAACACCTGCAAAAACCTGCCAAACGCCTGCATGGCCTGTTGTTGATATGTGCCCTCCAGTCGTACCTGACTCAGAGCGACCCCTCCTTGGGTTTCCGAGGCAGTATGACTACGGAAGTAGATTGCCCCATCTTCCTTCCCAGGAGTGGCTGGTGGGTTTGAACCGCCAGCCTTCTGGTTAGCAGTCAAGTGCCTTAGGCACTATGCTACCAGAGCTCCGCCTCCGTGGCCTAGCCAATCCAAATTAAGCAGAATATCCACCGGCCCAGGAAGCTTGAGGGTTAGGGAAGTCCCTAACTTGGAGCATGCGCTAAAGCCTCCGGCGCTGACCCAGGCCTAGTTCCATATCATTATGTTGTTGTTGTTATGTGCAGTCGAGTCGGACCAGACTCGTAGCGATTATAGTATCATCATAAAACGATTAACACCGCCTTCTTTTTACGGCTCCGGTCTTTTCATACTAGGCAAGCGCAGAAGTGCTCTCAGGGACCTGTCAATCAGCCTGTCAATCAACCTGTCACTCAAGAGACTGACACCGCCTTAAGAACACCCCCCTCACATCCCTTCACGCTCCTCTCAGGAAGTACAAAACCTACAGAAGTTGAACAGCTTTACGTCTTTTCCCACTGGGGGAAAGACCAGCTTCCACCTTTCTGGAGGAACCATTTGCTTTTAAGTCTTTTCCATTCCGCGTGAAAGACCCGTTCCTATCCTCCTTGGGAATGTCCATGCTTTTAGTAAAGTGCATGTATGCTTGTGTGATTGATGCTTTGTGATCCAAGTTTGTTAATCCTCCGCCAACTAAGTCGCCAACCATCATTCGCTCCTGCAGCCCAACTGCCAATCACCCCCTCCCGGAGATCCTTCCCGCGCGTAGGGTGAGGCCAGGGATCGAGCCTGACAATGAGAAAGATTCAATAAAGAAAATTAATTTATAGGTATTTCTGTATTTGTATTAATCTTAAGCCTCAGAGTTTCTATTTGAAAGTATGAAAACTAAAATTTCTAGAATTCAGTTTCTGAGAAAAATCATTATAGAAATAAAAAGCCTTTCAGTATAATTTAACAAGTGATTTTTTTGTAATTAGAACTTTAAAAACGATATTTATTGAAATGTAACAATACAAGAAAATACTTATAGAACACATGAAAAGGTAAATTGCTACATTTCAACTGTAGTATGATCAAAATTACGTAAAAATGCATCAACAAGACTACAGGAAAATATACTGTTATTAAGAGTGATTGCCTCTAGATGTTGGGATTGGTAGGTTTTTCCTGATTTTATATTTTATGTAATTTCCAAATTTTCTGCAATTAATCCGTATTAAGACTAAGGGTAATAATATTGGTTTAAGATATTTCTTATTTCATAGTTAAAACCATATTTTATATAAAACTGTATAGCTTTTTTAGAGCTTAAATTCAATGAGTGACTTTAATTATTGTTTGAAATAAATTCACTCATTGATTATCACAATAAGATTATAATTACGGCCCACAACAATAAAATGAATTATGATAGCAATGTACATATTGTAGAGTTTTTCAGTAGTGACTGGGATAGCACTAACTGGCTTTAGTCACTAGATAACTTATTTCATCAAATCTATCATTTCATTGGTTGAAAAATTCCTAATGATTTCAGAGATGTTAAAATGAAATTCAGTGGTTGAACCATATTATTTCTGTCACATCCAATCTTCAGATTTAATTTTTTTTATGTATAGAAGGAATTTGGACTATATGATCTCTGTGGTCAATTTGAATTTTCAATTTCTGATAATATCACTGTATGAATGAAAATACAGAACATAGAAGTTGACTAACTTCTAAACACCCATCTCTGTATTTGTCAACTATTTGCATTTGTCCTGCTCTTTACCTTATATTCATGCAGATTACGTTGCATATCCAAACCCTAGTTTGATAAACTTTATGGACTCACGGCATTTTAAAGCTTAAAGAGTCCTAAATGAAGCCATGTTTAGGCTTAAAGACAAACACACACACACACACACACACACACATATGAAATGGATTTGCTTTAAGGTATGTGACTCCTGACTAAAGGTCAGTCATTTGAAACCACCAGCCGCTCCAGGGAAGAAAGGTGAAGGAGTCTGATTTACAGCCTTGGAAGCCCTGTGGGGGTCTCTATAAGTTGGAATCAACTTGATGGTGGTGAGTTTTGTTTGGTTTTTTGGTTTCCAACACGTTAAGAATTTCACCTTATATTTGGAAAGGAAGTGCTCTTTGATTCTATGTTCCTTTTGTTTTTTTCTCCCTCCAACAGCATCCTTGCCCAAATAAAAATTTTACTAATACTTTTTCTCATTCATTGTTTCAGCCAGCCAAGCCAGGGACTTGTTGTCAAAGATGCTAGTGATTGATCCAGCAAAAAGGATATCAGTGGATGACGCCTTACAGCATCCATACATCAATGTCTGGTATGACCCTGCTGAAGTGGAGGCGGTAAGGCAAAGGCCTATTTTACTTTCCTTCCGTAAACAATTCATAACACCTGGGTGCCCAGTGGTGAAAACTGAAAGAGAACTAGAACCCAAAAGATCAAAGTTATTACTTGGCCATCTAAAAAGTTATTTCCTTCTCCCTATATTTTAAGTGCATTTCTTTTTCAGGCATTTCTATGAGAGGGTGTGATTTTAGCCCAACAATCTTAGATGTTTATGAAACACTTTAATTTGTTCTTGTTAAATACACTTTCTTTATGTTTAACCATCAGCTTCTAATGCAAATTTAACTGCACAGACACAAGAGAGGACAACTTGTTTTTCCTCTCTTTATTTGATAAGAAAGATGCCATCTATAATACAGCTTTTAGTAGGTCACTGTTGACTTTGTGAAACCTTACATGAAATGGAGAAAAGAGTGGGTATTCTAATAAAGGCATTATTTCAGGCTGCTTCTAAATTGACTAACACAGAAAGATGTATCTCCAAGTTTTAAATTCAGTTATAATTTAAGAATCTTTCCATAAGCATATGTCTTTTGTTTTTCATTTTTTAAAAATTATTTTTTCAAACATTTACTATTTTCTCTCCAATCACTTTCTTAAATCTTTGCCTTTCTTTTTCTCAGCTAGGGTTGAGTAGGGTAAACTGATGGTGTTACCATTCACACGTGTTCTCTAGGCCTTCTGATGGGAATTTTCTCTTGGTGCCTCTTTTAAATGTCGGTGTCAGCAATATTGCTTTCTCCTATAAACATGAAAATCTCAGATTACTAGAATGACTTGCTAGGTTATTTTCTTTCACATAACCCCTTTAAAAATCGTCAGAATTTGATCTTAACCTAATATCTGAAATACTTTTTTGTTTGTTTGCTGTTTTGCTCTTCTTGGACTCGTCAGTGCCCCCAATATATTCCTGCTCAGGGATGCTTTGTTTCAGCTTTCTTTCCTTTTGCTAAATTGTATTTTTTGCCCATGTCAGAGATGGTAGGTTCAAGTTTGTACAATTTCTTATTCCTTCATACTACGCTGGAGAAGTTAGAGCTGAAAGATGGTAGTGAGGAATCACTGGTTAAATTGAACTTTATAGGAATATTCAACAAATCTTCGTAATACAGCCCAATCTTAAACATTTGAAAATATCAGAAAAGAACACTTTAGTGATAAAAGAGTCTCCCAAGTGTTGGAATTGAGATGTAACTGTCCTTGATGACATTTTCTTAATATCTGCTCTGTTAAGCAGGTTTTCAATAATGTTGAAATTTTCATTTGCTTCAAATTAATTTTTAGTCACTTGATTTGATTCTTATGAAAATAAAATCCTTAAAATTAAACTTTTCTCATTTTCATGTTGATGTTCTTAAAACTAATATGTGCATACATTTGAAATATAGAATCGCTTCCAGTTTCTAGCTCTAGGGCAATTCTCAAAGATGTCATTGGTAAATTAACTTAGCATAGCATATATTCTAATATAATAAGCAAGAGAAAGTATGATGCATATGCATATGAAAATTAAGTATAAGAATCTTTGCCCTGATGAATCTAAGAAAATATCTTAGATTATGTTGATAAAAAATTTTAGACAAATTATTTGAAATTGTTGCTTCTCATTTATTTGGATCATTTAAATTATATTGCATATTTATTTTTCCTTATGTCTAATTTAATGTGTGTAATTTGTTTTTAATGGATTGTGGTCTAGAGTTTAATTGGAGTCATAAAGTCTACAGTTGTAATTCATTTGTAATTATGTTGCCTATAAAAGAGACAGTTGCTTAGAATCTATAGCAACATATTAATGAAGAAAGGCAATGAGTTTTAATAATGTATGTTAACTTTGCATGAAAAGTACTTTTGAAAGATAAAAAGATACAATTCAGGTTAATAAAATGGCTAGAGCTCTTTCAACCATTTCAATATTGTCATGCTCAGCCATGGATAACAAGACAGGAAATGTGACTTTAAAGAGGAAGGATCTGATGAAGGTCTAGGAAAAGTGACCAGTTACTGCACAGAAGAATGAGAGAGTATTTGTCATCTAGACTGGGATCATTGATTGTACAAAGGTGAAGCTGTTTTAAGTCTAGATCAGTTGGAATCCGATCCTAGCGCAAATTGCTCTATAACTATATTACAGAGCTCTCAACTAGAAAAAGACAGGTCCTGAATGTGCTTGAAGAAGGAGTCAGCTATGCTTCCTGGAACACCTTTAGAATCAGTGTTTTTGTTATTGTGTATGAGTCTGTAAAGCTTAATGACTTTTAAAGTTATAATAGAGTGATATGTCTCCTGTCAGGGCTGACAGTATTTTCTTGCAAACTAAACTCTTGTGTGTCTCTGAAAACCAAATAAATAGAAGTATCAAATAATCACAGGAATAGGAGGGAGGGATGACGGGAGAGAGACAGAGATAGAGAGACAATGAGAGACAGAGATATGCTCATTTACCAAGCCAAAGACATCAAAACTGAAAGGCAACATCAGAAGAAAGCAAATTTAAAACTAACAGGGGCAGTAAAGATACTTCTTTATTTACTCAATTCTTAACAAAAAGGAAGGATCAGGACCTGACATTAGAACCATTTTCTAAGGTAGAACTGGTGCTGGGCCAGGTTTCATGGCCAGTGGTGATGAGTCAGACATGTCATTGTGTTGAAAGGTCAGTCTCAGAGAGGCCAAGATATACTGTAGAGGTGGCTTCTCAGTGGTTTTAAACACTACTCTGGTTTGTCAGGAAACTGTGACTGACTCTTTTCCGAGATTGGTATAGAGAAAAAGGCATTTGCAAGATCAATCACTGAGTATCAGTCTCCTTTGGCCTGTTGTATTTTCTGTACCACCAATACCATGTCTGGAACAGCTGAAGCCACTGGTGGCACTACTTTATTTAGGCCTGGTAGCATAGTGACTAAGGCACTTGACTGCTACCCAGAAGGCTGGCGATTCAAACCCACCAGCCACTCCTTGGAAGGAAGATGGGACAATCTACTTCCGTAGCGATACTGCCTCGGAAACTCAAGGAGGGGTCGCTATGAGTTGGGTCCGACTCGACGGCACATAACAACAACAACACAACTGGTTTGTCAGTGGAGGGGCAGGCTGGGACGGTCAGACAGCTGGCATCTGAGAAGTCTGTTCTCCAGTGGCCAAGCCCCAGGTACCTGAGAACATAGAGGAGGGGTGACTGGTAACCCAGGACTTCTAATCTGGCAGCTGAGTCATTGTTAATGGAGAGAATGTGAGAACAGAGGCTTGGACCATGGAGCTACAGCTTTAATGTGGACTAAGCAGAGAGGTTGGAAATGTTTTGCTCCTATTTTTGGTGTCCTTTTTTGACTAAGGAAAAGTTGTGATGAATACAACCAATTTGGGTGAAGGATGATTAGCAAAGCAGGGCCAGTGCTGAGCTGGCTTTATTTCTTACTTAAATCATGATTAATTTGGGAATTGAGATGGGGATGGGTGGGCATTTAATCTACTTATACAGATTCTGAGTTACACAACCTGATCCTCAGATTCCCATTGAGAGTATAACCTGAGAAGCAGTAACACTTACATGCATTAGTGCTGCAGTTCAATTAAAATAAACACTTAGACAGTGTTAGCCCAGAACAGTCTGCAGTGTTAGACATTTATTGTTAGTTTATAACGTAAAGTAACTAATAAAGTCTTACATATGTGATTGTTGTTGTTGTTGTTGTTGTTTGCCATCAAGTCGGCCCCGACTCATAAGATGAGTATTATTTCATTACTTTAAGGACTATTTTGTTGTTGCCTACAGAGAAAGAATCCATAGGAACAAGCTAGCCTGTCTATATGTTTTAAGATATTTTATTGCAAAGCCATCACAGAATTTCATGCCCTTTGAACTGAATGACTGTATAGTTATTATTTTCACCATCTTCTTATCTGCTATTGTATCCTACCAGTTATTACTAATAAGAGTGCATCAAAATGGTGATGAACTATACAGGAAAGATGCATTATTTTCCAATTCTTGTGACATAAAAATGTAAACTTGAATGCTGATTATGTCTGCAAATGTGTTGAAGGTGAATCTGACATGAAAGCTTGGAGATCATTGTAGAGTTGTTTTGTGCTACAGTTCAGCAAATATTAATAATTCAAATATCAACCCCACAACCGTGAGTAGCAAATGTTCACAGGACCTAAAATCATGATGAGAAGAATAGATTGAGGCTAAGCATTGGGATCAGGAAAGACTGAGAATAGATTCAGGTATTTGCTTGGTCTGAGCTACCCAGGATGAGAGCTGACACAGACAGGTAGACAAATAAGGCTGGGCAGGTAGTTTAAACCAGCTGGGCAGTCAGGAAAGATACGTGGTCAAGGTCAGAAATTTGAGCAAACAGGACTCAAGGAGCATTTAAATAGTGCTCAAACTAAGAATGTTTTCAGATTGTAGTGCAGAAGTCAAGAGCAGATGTTCTTGGACCAATCTGGATAAAAGCAACAGTAGGAAACCATGAGCAGCCCTCGGGCAAGAAGATGGTTTCCTGGAGCCCAGATTGGTAATTGATGGCCTGCCCAGTGAGAGACGGAGCCACGGGCACAGAGAAGGTATAGCTGCTTTTGGAGAGATGGATGGGGGGAAATGGCCTGGCTTTTCCACCTTCCACCTCTATTTCCTGGTAGCCTCTATCTTGGTTCAGTGCAGCCCTGAGCTAGCTGACAAACAACTGTGCCTGCAGGAGTCAGTAGCTTCCTGATGAACAGAACACACAAAGGAAGGACCAGGACTGCAGCTTCAGGCAAACAGGCACAGAGCTAACACTCCATTTATTCATGCTTTCCTTAGTCACAACTCTGGAATTCCTGATTCAGTAAAAAATGAAATAACCAGGGACTTGGGCATGCTTACCTATAGAGAAGTCTTTGGAGGTTGGAAGAGGTGCATAGGGGTCTCACTGGGTAGAAGTGAAGTAAACATTACCACTAATTACTGCTTACTTTGTATAAGGATCTTGTAATTTCTTGT